GTGGCCAGTACGTGTAACACAACTAGGCATATACTATAATAGAAAGAGGTTGTTACATGTGTCACAATGCAACTTAATGGGTTTAGCATATTTACATGATATTAAGGGGGTGAGTTCCAGTTAACTATTCAACCAAGTGAAGCCTGGTTCACATATACCTGCTGTTTGTTGATGCGCTATTGTTGTTAAAAGTTCAACTAAATAATTCACAAAAGAATGTATGCATGTAAGCTGTAAACAATGATAATGCAGGCATATGTAAACCAGACTTATAAGATGCCAACAAAATCTTGATTTTTGTAGTAATCAAATTTCTGTAGTTGATATTTCCAAGTTGTTATCTCTCCTCACTTATTGAAATGGTTGCTTCAACAGAAAGATCTTTTCCTTTTATTATATATCAATTCACTTAACATGTTGCCCAATGTCTGATGATTTGACTAAAATTAGTAAAATATAAATATATAATCAAAATGTCAACCCCTTCATATAAATAAACATGCCAAAATAATATTCCAGAAAACAATACAATTTAACATAATCCCTTTATTAAACAATTATACCTTTCGTATCGTTCCATTCTTCATTTTGCGTTCGAAATTATGCCAGATAATTTCCTCAAATTGTAGTTCCTCGGCTGAACAATTGATACATTGTAAACATTTGGCTGCTTCGAGCGAGCGATTCAATTAAATTTGCACGTCGTTTTTAGACCGCGAGAGACATTGCGATATACAGGGTGTCTCAAAAAAACCCAAAATCATTGAATAACGTATTGTTCGAATTTCAATGCCGTAACACAAAGGATTTTGACAGGGTGATTAATTTGTTTTAAAAAATTAAAATATCTTTGTAAAGTGAACGTTTGTTTGCTCATGGGAATTTAAAAATGCTTCGTAAATTGTAATATGCGTAATATGCATTCGTGGGATTAGTACTTTATGCCTGACATAACAAGTTTACGCTGAGTATTACCATTCATTATAGCAGTTATGTCAATCTTTTATGCACTCGTGGGATTAACTTAGTGCTAGGGCATTGAATATCGAACAATACGTCAATTTCAATGATTTTGGGTTTTTTTGAGACACCCTGTATAGTCCTTTCAATTGACCAACTAATTTTAGTATAACTTGAATATTTCGATGCATTATAAAACATTTTTAAAGTTAATACTCGCAAGCTTCGCTCCTCGCCTGAAGATTTCAAACTGAATATATAATTAGGGTCAAACGCCTACTTAGGGGGTGGGGTACATTGACACGGCCACTAAGGTACATTGACACGTCCATTTTGTTCGATTTATGGCAGGCCTCTCTCCCAGAAAATTTTTTTTCAAACCCATTCGCAGGCTAGAACCCATAGAGAGGCCTGCGGAGGAGGCTAGGATTGCATGGCGATATAAAACATATAGTACTTTTTGTTTGTGGAAACATCATGTAAATTTATTACCCCAAAGCTTCCAATCGGTAAGCCCGGATCTTCATTAATGCTAACAAGCGCTATCTTATTAGCACTGATGAAGATTCGAGCTTACGGATCGAAAGTAATAAATTTATGTGGTGTTTTCCACAAACAAAAAGTATTATAAGGTGTAATTTGTTTAGATAACATTTCTTGTATATAAAATTCTTAATTCAAGAAAATATGAAGTTTTGGCAAATGCATGCGAGGGGCATTTCACTCCAAAAAAGCGTACGGGATTTTCGGATTTTTAAAAATCCGCGGATTTTTAAGCGGATTTAGCGGATTTTTCCTGGATTTTTAGTGGATTTTTGAAGAGAAAATTTGCTGGATTTTCCGGATTTGTTCGGATTTTCAGGATTTGTTCGGATTTTTTTCTGGATTTTTGAAAATCTGTTGGATTTTCCGGATTTTTTTGGATTTGTTCGGATTTTTTCTGGATTTTTTTAAATTATAGAGTTATAGAGCTAGGTAACGTTTTGAACAAATAATCTTAAAGATGCTATAAAGTCCTTTCTGCGCATATATTCTGCGCATCAAAACATTCCATCAGTGGGGAGCATGTACTCGAGCGTATAAATGGAAATGTAGAGTGGTCCAATAATTACGAAATATAATGACAGCGATCACGGTAAGCGTTTAGCTTTCGTTGTCCGCCATTTTGAACGTGGCAAAGAACCTTTACGAGTAAATTACACCAAGTACTTCATATATTTTTGTGGATTTGCGGATTTTTTATGGATTTTGAAGAATTTCTGTGGATTTTTGAAGGATTTCTGTGGATTTTTGAAGGATTTTTTGGATTTTGATGGATTCAACGGATTTTGAGGATTTCATGGATTTTTTCTGGATTTTTTCCGGATTTTTTGACGAAGTGTACGGGATTTTTGGAGTGAATTGCCCCTCGAATGCATGCATGTGTGAAGCAAAAAGGAGTATTGTAAGTGGTGAGCAACGTTTTAGAAACAATTGTGGTATATCGGATGTCTAGACTAATAACATAACTAACATTGTAGAAATCGAGGATTGAAAATTCCACAGTTCCACAAATTAGAAAATCTGTAGAAAAAGTCTATATATAATTATACACTATATATTAGAAGTTAATTTCAGTATCTAACCTATATATAAAACTATATAAAATAATAATATTAGTAATTAACCTTGAGGTATCAGCTCGCATGTTTCGTTTGTAAATGATATGTCATCTATAGCAAGATTAGCCTGCACACCAAGGCTGTAGATTCCGCCGTGGATGATTACCTGGAATAAATAAAGAATATCTGGTATTCACTCAAATTAAGCATAATATCAGTCATGTTTTCGCTCGCTACTCTGGTTTTAATTAATGAATGCCAAGCCAACGCAGCGTGAGACACTAAATTATCTACGAGCTTTCGTTGGTAGTGATGCAACTATATTTGAAAAATATATAGAAGGAGAATTTCGCGTTTCCGGGAAGGCCCGTCGTCAGGAAGAACGATGGTCCCTCGCCCGCAACGTCGTAATTCTCCTTATATTTTCCAAGTAGTTGCATCCCAACCAACGAAAGCTTGTTAGTACTTTAGCCGCTACCTATACTGTTTGGTACAGACAGTTCTATATTATCCACGGCATATTATAATCTCACGCGTCACGCGTGGAAACCACGCGCTTAGGATGGATATGAAAAAAGTATGTCGTTAGCGAAGTTTTGTTGTTAAAGACTTCTTGCTTTAGCTAAAGATTTTCACGTGAATATTAGGAGGTATATGTCACCCTCAATATTCCAAGCGAATAAGCGATGCATATTAAATATTTTAAAACGTCAAAAACGTATATAAATTGAAATATAAAAATGGATGGTCTTCAATCTCACTAGCATCTTTTTCCGGCAGATTATTCGGTTGTCCGAACATCATAACATTTGGCGTTAAAGTCGGTAACTGAACATCATCTTCTTGGTAATTTAGCGGTCGATTGTTTAAAATGTGATTTCCACATCAAGGATAACTTCTTCGAGTTCGTCGCATCTCAGATTTGCTCGGCCAATCGTCTTGTACAGCGCTCTCTTAACAAGTCCTACCATTCTCTCAAATTGCCCCGCTTCCCACCATGGGGCTTTGCTCAAGTTGAATTGCCACACGATTTGTTGATGGGCCAGGTAGTCTTGAAAGCGTTCATCTTTCATCCCCGAGCCAACGGCGCGGAGCGCCGTTCCGGCCGTTAGCCCGGGGCGAGGGTACTAATTCCGACCGGATATTAACACCCGGAGAAAGGAAAGCATTAGCCAAGTCTAAAGTTCATCAATGATTGCGGGCGCGTGACTATGGTTCATGGGTGGACCTCGTCACTGATCTCAAAAATATGGCTGTTCGCTAGGAGTGGGATAAGCAAGATTTCGATTTTCAAAAGCATATATTTGGAAGATCACGTTTCACACAATGAGCTTTGAAGCAATTTTTGTTTGAAGAAATTAGAAGAATTCATTTAATATTGGAATTGTGAAATATAGTGCAAGTTTGCTTTGTGTTGCTTTTAATTAATAATTTCTTGCGTATTAATAAAAGTACATGCAGCTTTCCTTTTCAGTCAAGCTGTTAGTTTCCTAAATTACCCTATTCAATTACCGAATTTAAGATTGTCGGGTTGCCATGACAACACTGACGTAAACGCGAGCCTACGTTCAGTGTTGATCAATTGCTAATACGGTACTTCATGTAAGTCAATGTTTGGAAAATATAGGCGAGGGGTTGCTGCATACATGTATTTCTAGTTATATTACTGATACATTTCACAAAAGTTTTAGCATTGTCCGAGTAAACCTTGCGCTGATGTCCCCTGCGTGCAATAAATCGCTTGAAACTTTTGATAACATTCTCGGTAGTTTGGTCAGGAAGTAACTCTAAATGAATAGAACGAGTAAGACTGCAAGCGATGAGCAAGATATACGCTTTACCATCTTTTGTCTTATTGATCTTATAGATGGGGGGCCCTGCATAGTCGACACCGAGGACTTCAAAAGGTGTTGATCCAACAGTTCTGTCGAGCGGTAGATTTCCAACTGGTGGGTTACGATAGGCAGTGACCTGAAATCGTTTGCACCCGTAGAAGCTCGCATCACTTTCTTCGTAGACTGAGGAAGTCTTGGTATCCAGTATCGCTGACGTATCAAAGCCATTGTTAACCCAACTCCCCCCATGTAACGTTTGAACGCTGGCATCTTCCATCATTTTCTCACTGAGCAACGGGCCGGCCAGGTACTTTATTGTTTTGATAGATATATTGGATACAAGCCTTGGATTCTTCCTCTACGTACATTCAAAAAGACCGTTCACGTTTCTTTGAAGGTTAAGCCATAGCTTTTCGTTCTTAAATTGTTCCGTTTCGAGCTGTCTTTCGGTGAACTTTTTTACGAGCAACTCCTCTTGAACTTCAGTTTCAGTTGTTGTCAGCGGACCACTTTGCTTTCTCGTCTTGGCCAACTTCGCTTTGCAGTTATTTACAAATCTGCTTATCCAACCAAGAATGCGAACGGATTTCCAAAAGGTGTGCTTTTAATTGTAGGAGATCCTCCACTTCGTCTTTGACTTCCGTACTTCCACAGCTGCAGCGAACAAATTCTTTACTAGCTTCACATCCGATTCAGACTCTTTACCGGGTTGTGCAACTATGTCCTCAGGCCATTGATCAGGAGAAGGCAGCCACTCTGGCACTTTCACTATGCCAAAGGGATCGTAGATGGAAGCCAGAAATCGCAGCATTTCTCTTTTGGTTGTTACAGGCATTTTGTTTGGAAAGACTGTGGCGATCGTGTCTTTTAGTTTATTCTTGGTGAGTCCTAACAGTTTTGTTTCACCTAACAGTTTTGTTTCACAGTTTTGTTTCAAATGCTTGCTTAAGGTCTCCACTCAGTGCCACTGGTTTCAGACCATTCCTCACGAGAACGTCCCATAAAAGATTTTGCAAAGGTGGTCCCGTCTCCAAACAGTCATTTTATGATGGACTGCTATCATTTTCCTTGGAAGACGCATCATACACGATCCGCACCTTGGTGGACTTTCCTACCGGGTTGAATTCTTTTCCTACCGGGTCGCTAGCGACTATCTCCACAAGACCTTGATTCAGTTGGCCACGAATGATGTCGTCATATTGGTCATGACCAGGCTTCCACAACAAACCAGTTTCATGCCATCCCTCACCACTCTGTGTTAATTGCTCTTGGAATTCCATATAAACGAACTGCTAATCCTGTTCTAGGGCCCTTGAGACCCAGCTTGGTAATAGGGCTGATATCTGCTTTGCCAATTTCTGTTTCGAATTGCCCCCAGAATCTCTGCCATTCCAAGTGGGTTCCTTGGAATTTAGACATAACTAACTTGGGCTGCTTGGCGGAATTACATTGGCTTGCAGACTTCGTTTTAGCTTCCTCTAGTCCCTTTTCAAACTTTCGTTTCATTTCCAATTTAGCCTCCTCTAGTGCAATCTCTTCATCATAACGCTTCCAACGCTTTTCTCTTCAATTTCTATCTCCTTATTTTTAGCTTTCTATGTCGCACAGTTCTCACGCTGCTGTTTCACTTCGCTGATAACATTTTCAAACTCAAGTATACTGTCTGTTCTAAGTGCTGTGATGAGCCGTGAGGCTCCATGTTCTAACTTCCGTGGGGTCATCCCCTTTCTCAATTCTCTCTCTCTCTCTCTCTCTCTCTCTCTCTCTCTCTCTCCTCTCTCTCTCTCTCTCTCTCTCTCTCTCTCTCTCTCTCTCTCTCTCTCTCTCTCTCTCTCTCTCTCTCTCTCTCTCTCTCTCTCTCTCTCTCTCTAAACTTCCATTTTAATTCATGAACTTCCTCGATTAACGATTCTAAAACTTTGGCATGTCTCTCCATTTGTTTTTGTTTATTCTCTTCCAAAAAAAATTGGGGTTTCATTACTTGTAAATTTCAGCCTTCCAAGCTTACCTTCGACTTTATTCACCAAATCTTTCACGGTTGACATCTTTAACGATTGATTTTTCTCTGGTTTCACCTTTAGCTAAACACGATTATTTCACGTACTATATTCGCTGCTTTTCGATGTTAAAATCTTGCTCGGGGTCGCCACTTTGTCGCCACTTTGACAACAACTCACAATATTTAGTGAAATTTTGTTTTGTACTCTTCGTGTAAAAGTCATAAAAACTGTTATATCTAAACATTGTAGTTATTGTCGCGGATAACAAGCAAAAATTCCCGACAGGTTCTTTAACTTTCGGTATAATATATAATTTATATAGATCTTCTCCTCGGAGAATTTGTCGAAATGTTACCGCAAGTGATGTTATCTTCCGCGGGGCATATATACTGCTCCTCGTTTAAGCTTACCCTACCTGGTAAATATCCGACGGAGGAATATCCAAGAAGAGTTGTGCAAAATTCCATTTATGACCATGATTTCCATATTTTTTAAGCACCATGTTTTCTGACTTTGAGTTCTTTCGTTTGGTAAAGATCTTTATTTTTCCGGTTTTATGGCCATAGAGATAAAAATAGAACTTCATGCACACAGGCCCAGTGATGAAGTTGCTGTAGAGCTTGGCCACTTTTCCTTTGAAATACATTGTGTTTTCGATAGTAGCAAAACCATCGCCGGCCCCTATGTGAAAATTTAAAGAATTTTTTGAAATGGGTTGATTTTTATACACATTCTCGTTACTCGACATTCGGTAACTTACATGCAGGTATTCTAATGGTCTGCTATTCTTACATGCATTCATGGTAAGCGCCTATTTTATTTACAAGAATGAAAAAAAAAACCAAAAAAACTATATTCTTCGAATTGTTTTTATTTTTCTTGGAACTTTAATTAGTAGATATTATAATATGTGGTTTCTAATATTTTAGGTTGCTATTTTTATATTGCTATGTTCTAAACTGGTTTCACTTTTTTTAGAACTAGCTAAACGTTGTTCTGCACGACAGACTGAAGAAATTCAATCAGAAATTAAAATGCATAATAAAGCTGTTTTGAATTCAGTTTTAAGAATGTCAATAATTACCAAGGGCTGGTTTAGTTTTATAATTTACCTCGATTTTACTAGATATAATTCCGGATATGAAAATATCCTCATCCAAAAACTATTTTATTTATGCGTTACTGCAGCAATCTTGATTGGATTTGGCTAAAAAACATACCAAAAGTTCTTGACGTGATGCGTCCTGTTCGCCAGAGTAATAAATAATAGTATGGCGGTGGGAAAAGTCATTACAAACAGAAGTGAAATGATTTTCAAGAAAACTCATCAACAGAATTTGAAAAGTAAAACTCATTACGAATTTTCACATATTTATGCATTTTTTGTTTTATCCTCTTATTGAGATGTTGATATTGGATTGTAAACCAATGGACATACTTTATTTTACCAATTTCTGTGCTGTGTTCGAGTGGAAAAAGTAGTACGCTAGAGTGTTATCCGTTTTGGTAATAAACATGGAATTGTGATATACTGCAGAATTATCTTGGTCGAGGTAATGAAGTGTTATTAATTTTTCAAGGTTGTGGTAATTAAGGGCCTGTTTATATGGAGGCGAGTTACCCGGCAAGGCGAGTTACTCGGCGAAGGCGAGATTCCGGCTATTATAGAAACTATAATATTTCTCCCGGGTGACTGTTTACATGATGCAGCCGAGTAACTCGCCTTGGCGTTCCCGGCAGAAAGAGGCGAGATCTCGCCAAGACTGGATATGAATATTTTTTCATGTAACACTTTGTCCAGCTAGGTACTGACTCGTCCGCCCGAGATAGAAATATTTGAAATATAACAGCTCAAAAGTGATACGAAGCGATAAATATAAGTTTTCCTAAATTTCTCCGCACTTATTCTTGTATTTTGACGACATTTTGTAATGTTTTCGAACGTATCACACGACTTAAATCCTTTTTGTGTTTTGGCGCCATTCCGGCGTCATGCGGCAATCATGCGTGCAATCATCCATGCAGCGAATGCCGAGTATCAATTCCATATAAACAGAGCGCTTGTTTGTCCCGCCTGGGCGAATAATCGCCTTGCCGGGTTTCTTGCCTCCATATATAAACAGGCCCTATAAGTGTTGTTTTTAAGATTCCAAAACCGAATTCAATAACTCTTTTTCAATAACTGCGCGACCTATGTATTTTAGCCAAGCAATCTCAATTTGTTTGTCGTTCGTTCTATCTTTCGGATCGCATTTTCTGACATCACAGTAGAATGACGTTGCATGTGTACAAATTTATATACGAAGGAAGTTTACGATGACAATCCGATCACTTCTGAAAGCTGTGTTCGCTACACCGTAGCTTCATGAGAGCTATGACACTTTAATTTTGATATGCAATATGCATGGTCATGTTTTATATTAAGCAATTATTGGATGAGGCTGAGCATGATATCAAGAATTATTCAGACCGAGGTCAATGTTATCTGCCGAAGCGAAGCTGAGGCGGATAACATAGACCGAGGTCTGAATAATTCTTGATATCATGCGAAAGCAGAATCCAATAATTGTTTTATTATTATTAAAGACATGAGAAACGTATAGGACGATTCCTGTTCATGAGGTAGGAAAAGTACAATTTGAATATCAAATACCTTGCACAAAGTCAAAGGTCAGCTAAATATTATATTTCTACTTCTATTTACCCCTTTGCGGCTTTTTTCGTGCTTTCACTATCCTTATCTGCCAATAATTTGGAGAGTTCACTTTCATTCAGCGAAGCAAATCTGCTGTCGGCCATTGTTTGTGTTTTTTTCCCGTGCTTATAGGTTCAAGCTTTTGGCCGCGCAAGGCTTTGGGCACGAGAGTCCAATAATTTTTTTTTTGGATGCCAATTCGATCCAAAAAAAGAATTATTGGACGCTGATGACGTCATCGGCGGAAAATCCGTAATAAATGCCGAATACTGAAAATTAGCCGGTGCTTTGTGACCAATTAGAAACGAGAATACATATTTAATGTATAATAACATGTTTTGTTTCATGGTCGTATCGCATATTTTTCCATTGTACGAGGCTGTCACAATAATTATTTTACAATATTATTTGATTTTGGAGGAAAAGAGTTATATTTTTGAAGGTACGTTGATAAAAATAGTTATTTGGACGTTTGAATACTTTAGCCCTGAATGTGCCATTAAAATGATAATTGGGACAAAAATGACTTACCTGTAGTATTTTTATGTATGAAATTGTTATTAAATTCGATACATATCCAATGATTCATTCAAGTATTATTATCGTTTATATAAATGATATTGTACAGTATTCAGTGGCAATAAACCTATATCTATTTGAATAACGCAAATCATTAAAAACTTGCATAGCATGACTTCGTGCAGTATGGCTATGCAGCTTTACAATTAACTTTACCACTTTGCCATTTATAATTACACATACAGGAGCAAGAAATTATAAGCATTGAAGGTATAAAACCGTCCATGCCAAGAAACAAGACATAGAATATTTAGCTGACCTTCGACTTTGTGCAAGGTGTTTTCGTATTCAAAATGCAATATTTCTACCTTATGAACAGGTGTCTAATTAAGGGTGCTTTACGTGCTTATATGATGGAAGGCGGGATGAGGCAACACATTCCTCCTTGCGAAAGAAACTTGTGGTAACATATATTGCCTTTTCATTAACTAGTACTCTTTCGACAAAACAATTAATGATTTGTCGTACAAAACGACGTTTGGTTCTAAAAGAATGCAGTGACAACGATTTAAAATGTCATTAATTGTAACAGCAGAAAATATTAGAAATCTCATTTACCTACTAAACTTCCAATAGGAATATCATAAAGGACAATCAGACTGCCTTTTGCGCAAAAATTCACAAAACCACCCTTTGTTCCACGATGTTGCTTTTGCTTATTTTTGTTCTTTTATTTAAAACAAGATTGAATTATCTAAACCTCGTGCAAAATTATCCGTCTCAGTAGATAACGTTGACCGCGGTCTTCATAATTTTTTATGGCAACTGGCCATGCTTAACCTGAAATTCAGTAGGGCCTGAATTGCAGGTTAGGCCATGCTATGCTAATGATCATGCATCTAAATAGGTTATTTATGAGAAACATTTCTAAATCATTAAAATTGGCATAGCCGATGACCTGTTCTATGTGGCTAGCCTCGCCAATGATGCTTAGCCTGACGCAATAACTGTTTACGGTTTAATTCGTTGCACTGTGTTCTCGGTTTTTCATTGGCTAAGAGCCTACAAATAATTTTGGGCATTTGTAGGTGCCTGCGCTATTTCCAGCGGAAACAGTAATCTGCAGAGGTTATTGGACGTCGCCCGAGATATTTCAGCGGTATTTTATGTGAAAATACAAATTGGCGGGAAATTTTTATTTGAGCGGCTTTTTCAATTGTTTACAATGGCTAGTGCTCGTTTGCAACGTTTTCAACGCAGGAAATTGAAAAATAGTGGAAAACAAGGACTCAGAGAACACCAAAAAAAGTACTAAACTGGCAAGAGAGGTTTTCAATATTTATATTTACGAAAAGTTAATCAATTCAATGAATATTTATTTTTTTTCAATTGTTGCTTGTTTTGTTTTCTTTCTGTCACAAAATGAATAATAAAACAATTATTGAAATCGGCTAGCGCAGGATACCAGAATTATTTAGACCTCGGTCAATGTTATCTGCCTTAGCCTTCCGCTTCGGTAGATAACATTGACCTCGGTCTAAATAATTCTGGATATCCTGCTCAGTCTCATCCAATAATAATTGTTTATTATATAATGCCAATTGAGAGGCTCGACTTTATCCAAATGACACGTTCTGTGTAGGGATGAATTGCAGTGGAATCATAATATGCAGCCGAGAGTGGAATTGGGAAATATCAAATATATATAATATTATGCATGTCAAAAATTGAACAGTCAATCATTCCCCCCACCACCACCAACTTATAGCCACAATAGAACTGTCATTAAATAAGTTTTGTACTACATAAGTTTTATTTCCGTGTGAAGCAAACTTAATTATGTTTATTTAGCGGATTATATTTTTCCAGGATAATTATGAAGAGGATGCAAAACGATATGCGTATTATGTACCTTGTCTTCCATTTAATATACCAGCGTCTTTGATTTGGGACATCACTACTTCCCAAAGAAGATTTTCTTCATTTCTCCAGCCCCCAAAACCATCTGTGAAGTTCCAGTTAGGATATTTTCCTAAAAAGGAAAGGCATTTTATAAAAGCAGAAAATGTTGTTGCCGACTAATCGACACCAATCGGTTCAAAAGTCAAAGTCAGATTTCCCGACGAACGATCGAGGGTATTTATTAACATCTAGCTAGCTTGGTAAATCAAGCATTTTCTTCGCTAAAATCCCTATTTTTAACAGGGTGGCATGATTTAAAAATGAAAATTAAAGACCAGCAAATGACTTGCAGACAAGACATAACAAAAATATAAAATTTACTGGCAAACGTGTCGTTGTATTTTTAACGACATCTTCAGAGCAACTAAACTTAATATTTTTTTAATGCCAACATTAGGTCAACTCCTCTTGACCTATTCTAATTCTTTGCTACGTCTCTAATTACTGTAACCATTATATATCTTTAATTTACTAATATTTTTTGAAAGTATTTGTATACTATATATATTTATAAAATAGCTTTTTAAAAACACGGGCGCTGTGATAGAAACACGGGGAATTTTTACGCGGGTTGCGTGGATTGCGCGGGAGTTTAAAAGACAAAATACAAACAATATTTACTATTAAAAAAAGTTGGAAAACGTCGAAAAACGCCGAAGAACCCTCACAAAAAAGGCAACGCTTGCTAACCTAGAAAGCAAAGACCTAAAGCACAGAGTACAAAGTATAATACAACATACGTTGTATCCGTTTGACTGTTTACCAAGGTAAGATATTTTAATTTTACTTTGTCTTTTAAAAATATATTTCCTCGCGACGTTTTAAATCAGTGTTTTAACGCTACTAACTATTTAAAACAGTGCGTTCTTTGCAAGCATGTACGTTGTTTGAGTGAATTTAATGAAGTATTAAGAGGTTAATTTAAGCCTGCATGTTAAAAAGTGTTATCTGTTGTTGTGACAGTGATATATATATTTGTTTACTTGGCTATGCTTTAATTATTCTTTACACGAACGTATATTAAGAAATAATTAATATTTGAATGAATGTAATTAAAATCAATAAATTTATCTTTTTTATTGTTTTTAAAAGGCTATTTAATTAATAAAGGAAATAGAAAACAATTTTCCGTGTTCCTATATATGGAGTTATAGAAACACTTCTGGAAGTTTGAGAGAAACTCGAAATTGCGTGGAAACACTCGCAATTCGGGCTTGTGTTTCCACGGCGCAATTTCTCGTTTCTCCCAAACTTCCACGCATGTTTCTATAACTCTGTAGAAACACGGAAAATGTTTTCTATTTCTTAAATAATACACGCTTGTAAATAAGTTTAATTGCTCTGAAGATGTCGTTAGCAATACAACGAAACGTCAGCCAATAAATTTTATATTTTTGTTATGTCTTGCCTTAAAGTCGTTTGCTGGGCTTTAATTTTCATTTTTAAATTACGCTTTCATGGCCACCAGGTGTATCAATCGCTAGGGTCGCATGATATAAGTTTGTATGTATCTCTCAGTCAGGTATCATGCATGCAGGTTTAGCTAACACGCCTGACAAAAATGCATGCCAAAGCGCCAACGTGCTTCAACTTCTTTAATTTTTATCCTGTTTCTACGAAATTTCCCATGAACATAGAATATTTCATTCTAAAAAATCGTATGTTTTTTGTTTTTCGAATTGCTACATTTTTGGCGGGAAAATGACGTCACAAACTTGAAGCTAAAAAATTAACAGTTAGCTTTTGGTATTGTTATAGACTACTTATTCGCTAGACGACATTGAGAGAATCTTAAAACTGAAGTCTGTTTCTAAATAGGACGATTTTTCGCAAAGATATAGCGATACAAAATGGCTGATTTTTCGCCATTTGTATCGCTATATCTTCGCGAAAAATGGTCATATTTAGAAACAAACTTCAGTTTTAATTAAGACTCTTTCAATGTCGTCTATCGAATAAGTGCATAACATTACCAATAGCTAACTGTTAAATTTTTGGCGCCAAGTTTGTGACGTCATTAAAAAGTAACAATTCCAAAAACAAAGAACATATTACGTTTTCTAAGAACGATATGTTCTATGTTCATGGAAAATTTTGTAGAAACAGTACAAAAATTAAAGAAGTTGAAGCACGTTGGCGATTTGGCATGCATTTTTGTCAGGCGTGAATAAAGCATGAGAGGAGGACTAATTCAACCTGTATATTTGTATTATTATTTTTAAAGGAAAATGGCAATATATTTTTTATTTTCACGTTTTTTCCGTGTAAAGCAAATTTAATTATGCTTAAGAATTTTTAAGACTATATATAGTAATCTTTTACCGTTTATACCTTGCTTACTTCTACAAATATTTTGATCGAAAGGAATGAATGTCCGCCATCTTCATTTATTGTAGATATGCATGTTACGCCACAACAGGGGTCACGCAATATAATTTTGCACTCAAAACTATACTCTGTCTTCCTTTCGAAATATCAAGATCACTCAAAACCTTAAAAACATCTACCAATCAATATTTGGTCAGCAACGAACAATTTTATATGGTTAATCCCTGTTGTGACGTCACCAAAACTACCGTTAATTAGATAAAAAATGTATCCAAGATGGCGGACATCTCATTACTTCATGCAAGTGAAAATATTTCAAGAACTAAGCAAGGTATGAAAATTCGGTAAAAGAAGTTAATATATAGTTTGAAAATTTCTTTCAAATGAGAAAATAAAAAATTATATTGCCATTTCTCTTTAAATATATCCTATTGTTGCCGAGGTCTCTTCTATCAAACGTGAAATGATATAGCATTTGCGCAAATCCATTACGTACCAGTTCCACATTAGTCTCTATCATAGATAATCTTATATACACTATAGATAGTGGATCTAATTATTCTGCAATTCAAAAGTTGAAGCCGTGATTGCGGACTCGGGATATACCCATGAAATGAGAAGACCCGTATCTTTTCTATTTCTTAAACTCAGGGAACTTAAACATTAATTCAAACCTATTCCAAATACAATTTCAAACTATTCAAATGATGAAAGTTATTGTTGTTTTTTAAGCGTTTATTAGCGAGTGGGAAACTCCAACATAGCCGCCATCTATTCAAATGGGGGTAACAGCTGGAATATTCTTGGCTTCAATTTTACTAAAAGAGATGCCTTATCTAGTGTATATAACATATCTATGGTCTCAGTAAGCAGCAGCTACATTCTTTTAACACCGCGACCGTAAAATAAATAAAATATGACAGAATTGTATAGTAAAAACCTTCATGCCAGACACATATGAATAAAGCTTATAAATCTATAGTTGTTATTATTGCTTATCAGTTGTTATACCTGCTTGGACGTATTGCTTCACGGTTGTGCTTGGAGCCGAAGTAGGTGCAGATGGAAACTTGGGCAACCAACCTTAACACATAACGCAAAGTAGAAGTACAGCTGCATTTATAAAATATAATTGCACTATACTCTACTATAATTTGTCTTATTTGATAATCAAATACACCGACGTTATATTTATATTTCAATAATTTATATATTCTCATTTCTCAATGGCAAACCTTGTGATGGCGTAACTTCCTGCATGATGAAGATGACAAATATATATCTCGCTACGATCCATCTAGCCATTGCAAGACCTTAATAAAAATAATTTTGGAGTTAGCCGCTGTGGAAATTAAGCTGGTAAAATTAGACTGAACGTTATACTTGTGTCAGAAAGAAAACGTTTATCACGAAAATATTTGTGTATCATAGAAAAAAGAAACTCGATCTTGTTACGGGCATTTCTACTCAAGCTAGCATGATTTCGAGTGCAATTTTGGATTTAAACATTGTATGTACGAGTGAGTGCTATTTGATGTTTTTTGAAAAACTCTTGAATGCTTGTTTTATCCAAATTGCATGTCGATAAAGCACGCGATGATATATACTTGTTAATTATGTACATGAAAACTTGCCCAAAATTGCACAAAACAAAATTAATGCAGCTCACACGCTCCGCACTGAATTAGCAGGCTAAAAACTTCTTGTTTTATTGTTTGAAAACATACACTCACCCAAGAAGTCTTATCCAGATATTCACATGGATTTTTCAGTTCCTAGAGCACTAGAAGTCGAGCTGTCGTGATCAATGAAAGCATAAATCAAAACTGAACAGATCTGATGACAATGATGTGGGTTTTATTACAGTGAGGTTAATAATTAACGGTGAAATTAAAATGCTCGTCAGCTCGTATCAAATATACTTTTAGAGATAGAATATTTAAAAACTAAGGCAGCCAATGATAAAAAGTTGTTAGGAATATATTAGGCTTGTAAAAAAACATTTCCTCATAATGATGCATTTGCTATTAATAATAACTTGGCCGATGGCCAGGTGCGATTTTGTCAATCACTGCATATACACGATCTTTACTCTCATTATATATTTTTCTTTAATCATGCTTTAATCGTGCAACAGAAATGTACGTACAGTAGTCCGCTACACAGCGGGAGTTAATCCCAAAGGGAAGTGCAAAACTCAAGGGCAATAATCCATTTCAAAATGGGGAAGTAATTTAAGGCGTCGACCAACCGAGACTATAGAGACCTTACGATTTTGCGACGGCAACGCGACGACGACAGCCGAAACAAACTCCTTCAAATGAATGGTAGTAAAGATAATTCGTTGTATACTATCAATCGTATGAATTTAATACAGTCTTAGAAGTTGAAAACATGGGTTTTATGGTTGGGAAGAGTTCTGCTGAACCCAGTTTGAAGTTGCACTTGTTGCAGCTTGAAATGCAGCCGTTGTATCAAGACGTGAAAATATGTGATTGGGCGTTGTAAACAGAGCGAAGGACAATCTATAAATTATTCATATATTGTAATTATTCATTTTTTTTCAATTATTTATTGTATTGGTATAGCCGTTGCCGTCGCGTTGCCGTCCTAAATCGTAATAGGTCTCTAATATTCAAATCCCTCCCCTCTCCCACCCCGCCCCAGATCGAATTGAATCCGTTGCCAAACAATTTGTGAAAACAGAGATTAAAAAGCTGCCTTTTAAGAGCAGGGCGAAATATATAACCAATGCATGTAAAATTCTACAACAAACTTTATTTTATTATAAATTATTTATAAGCCTTTATCAGCTAAGCTTAAAAACTTGACAATATCTGAGGGGAAAAAAAATGTTATGCTTTGTCATACTCGTTTGTTTACAAATCCCACAGCCCTCCCTGCTCTTCAATGACATATTGTACTCAACTATTTTTAGTTAGCTACAATTATAAAGAGCCTATTTGCCAAGGAAAGCGTATAAGGTTTCGACGATCGAGCAGACGGCATTGCAACTGACAACTGCCCATTTGCAGAAAAATGAGTGGCTTACTTTAATATTGTCAAGATCACATTATTGGTTGGCCAAAAATTTTCGAATAGTTATTGCATGTGAATCTCGAAATTAAAAGAAGAATTACGTAATTAATATTTTGATGCGTAAACTTTGCAATGAATAAATTTCAGTTTCCTTCATTAAAATACTCATTATGGTTTCGTATCATCTTTTCTCACAGAATGTTTACTGAAGATATCACGCCAATCATGAAGTGTATTGATTATTTCATCAAAGTAATCAAAGAGAGTATATATTAAAAAACAATTATCTGCCGAATAGCTCATTGGCGTTGATGGATGACCTTCGATTTAATCTTAGGAAAGGCGTCCCACTAATAAGCGTGCAGCCGGTTGCTTTATTTGCAAAATAGTTATTGAACGTGAGTAGCTATACGTACAGATTCCTACGATAGCTGTTACAATAATATGGCGCTGTTCAATCTCTTCCAAGTGCATTAAACATTCTAGCTAATGCATAGATTGCTATGAGTTGGTGCGAGCGTGTACAGTATATAGGTGTGGGTTTAAGAATGTCCAAATGTTTATACATGCATAAAATGGAGATAAATAATTATAATAACTATATACTGTAGAAAATAATAACTATATACTGTAGAAATACATGCACGCAATGCATGCAGAATTCCTCATTTCTAATTTCAAAAGATTTGCGCACCGGCATTATGGAGACCATGCATACAGCATCTCAATGGACTACATATTAATTTCCTATTGCTCATTTTCACACAAATAAAGTACTTTCATTATAACGTACATATACGTAATTTACCGGACTAAAGAGAACAACTGTTACCCGAGGTCTTGAAAACGGCCCAAAACCGAAGGGCGAGGGACGTTTTCAGACCGAGGCCTAGGGCACAGTTTTTCTCAACCGGACCGACGCTGCCGGTAAATAACTTTATCAGATGTAAAAATAAATAACATTTTTTATCAGATGTAAAAATGAAATTCATTAAAATTTCAGTGTTGTTTGCGAACTAATTTGAGATCAGTGCAGTTGCGTATTTTTAAAACGAAGCTGACAAATTGAAAAGTTGAAAGTTAGATAAACTCATAAACACGAATACGAAAACTCGAGAAAATTGTCAAGAAACACACAAAAAGACGTATATACAGTTTCAGTAAAAATGTAGATACTTTTTCATGAATATGATAGCATGCAGAAAAGCTTTGGAATAAAAAGTTTAAGCCTGGCGTTTTGGCTTTGACAAATTCAGTCGCTTCTGACAACAACATTTGGTTTTATTTAATCAACGTTTTTCTACTAAATGGACAATGAAAAGGATACGTTATTTTTATATTTTTGTATTTTTCTGGTCGTTTCACGATAATATGCTTGAAAAAAGTGTTTTTAAATACAGACTTTGACTTTGTTTACATCAGTATATTTAATATATTAGTGAAAAATGCATGATACAAATGGGTACGTAGAGAATATATTCGTGACTTGTTTTCACTGCTGCAGTTAACCTTCTAACCTTCTTTTAAATGGAAAAACATTTCGTTTACAATTTTAAACTGTAATTTTTTCGCTTATAAGCTAGTGCAAGAATACATGGACATTTAAAAAAATAAAGCTTTCTCGGTGTAATTTTTTATGCATGGCAAATAACTTTCCTACTTTCAGTCGTATTTAATTCTCTCAAAATTTTGTCAACAGTCTTTAGGGCTTAATGCAATTCACATTCGTATTCTGACTGTCGTTAGACTACGTTTTTCAAACTTTTTGGGCAGACTTTTTCGTTTAAAATTGTTTCAGTTTTTGACACGAAAACCAGAGCGGGCGTTGCATTCACAGCGGGCAGTTGCGTTTCAGAGCGGGCCAGATGCAAAAACCGGTCCGCTCTGAAGGCTCCTTGGCCAATCAGATTTCTTGATTTTCACTGATAAGAAATAAGTAACAATAATAGAAGTTATGCATATTTTTCAGTCACGTTAATGGTGTTTTGGCACTCTCTGTCCTTCACTTTCATTAACTAATAGTGTTTCATATACTTAGGGAGAAAACTGAAAGTATGTCTTCATAAACCAAATTGCATGCATGTTTTATTCTCATCTCACATCACTGCATATGGCTATATTTTGACGTACAAAATATGAAAGCAAAGCAATGAATTAATCGAATTGATGTGAGCCATGCAGTGGTGAACATGTAAACTGTTTTTAATGAATAAGGTATCTAAAATACAATCATGTACAGTACAGCTCGTATAACCTACGACACGCGCGTCCAGTATACGTATAAGATACCATAATGTCTGTTCAGATATGATGGTCAGGGACACCGGAACTGGGGGGCAGGAGGGGCAGCAGCCCCCCTTGCCCTTTACCAGGAGGGGCAAGGGGGGCCAAGGTGCCCTTTCAATTTAAAGGATTGCCTTGGTGAAATAGCGAATTGTCAGAAATGTTAGTGCAATTCTTTTACGAATTTGCTTCAGAAAACGCAGGAAATGCAGTCATCGAGCTTCAAGAATGGCACAATCGCCTGGCGGAGAACCCCCTCACACACCTATCATCCAATAAATAGAAAACATGATTAGGCGAAGTTCAACTCCCGATGTTTTGCAAACATCTCGTGGTATATATCAATTCAAAAGTGCCCTTTCACGAAAATCTGCCCCCCTTGCCTTCACATCGTTCCGGCGTCCCTGATGATGGTCTGCATGGAAGCCCGGCAAACGTCAAAGCTACAATATAGAAAACCTTTGTTTGATGTTGAACTGTACCGGCACCGTGCACAAATCCTTTTTCTCAACTCATTAAATATCATTCATTGTAATTACACGTTTCATCTCAGCTATATATTACCTATTGGACGGTTACTTCATTATACCAAAATACAATGAGCTCAATCACATTCACATTCACCGTGCAGAAATTAACATAAACGCAGCCAAAAACATAATACATTGACTTCTGTTTAGTTTCCAGCCCATCATGCATATCTTTGTAACATGTGATAATACTCATATAATAATACAAATGCCTACGATCATTTTCAAAGTTGTTGGGACACTTGTGGTTTTAGATCATCAGTGGATATTATAGGCAAATTATTACAAAATCTCCCTCCGCTTCCACTTCCCATTCAATGCTGTTTAGACACACCAAAGTAAGATTCTAACTGCAGTGTTGTAACGAGTCGAGTCATTTGACTCAGACTCGACTCGAGGCGCAAAATATTGGGAATCGAGTCGAGTCAATTACAGTCTCAAATGACTTGACTT